GTTTTCAAGTTCAGACAGCTCGCTACGCAGGAAGGTTTTTCAGGGCGTGCGAAAGCTTTGAAAACGGTCTCCTGGATGACATAGGACACATGCGGGAGCTCCCAGAACCATGTCACTTTTCCTAAACGGCCCTCTGAATACCAGCAAAGGGGTCCCTCGTTCAAAGTCCTCGTGTGACCGAACTTTTTGCATTCGCCTTGAAACTTTTTGAAATTCGCGCAAAAAATGAAGTTAGCATGAAATAATTAGTCACATTGCATTGACTAAGGACCGGCTAGTAACCTTCTACAAAAAGGCAGTTGACTGAACAAACCTCGGTGTTGTAGGCTGTGGCCACGATAGCGGTCCCCCCTCCCCGTGGTTCACACCTTTTAACCGGTTTTTTAGTCGTTCTATTTGTAAGCTTATCTGCGTCCTAGTCATGATATGGTACACGAGGAACGAACTAGGGACCACCTTTTCGGCATCAGAGGGCCGTAAGGAAAAATGAACCAGTGGTCTGTTGGTTCGCCGCATTGCCCCTATATCAATGGCAAAAGTCCGATTTCAAAAGGACTTGGCACGCAGGAAAGACCTTCTGGTTAGCCGTTTTGAATGGTCCTGGCGCAGGGCGGTAGAATTCAATGGTAGTGGGGCGGCTAGGCCTCACAGAATGCGTACGCAGCGCAGCAACGCGCGTTACAAAGTTTGGATGCGCCCCGTGAGTGAATCCATCGCCGAGCCCTCCCCCCCCCCCCCCCCCCCCCCGGCAGAAAAAGCCGCGATGGAGAAAGCGAAGAAGTTGCTCTCGTGCTAACCGAACCATCCCTACTCAACATATCGCATTTGTACATCGGCGCCACCTTGAGCAAAATTTGCTTCGAGAATCAACCCAATGATCACTAAGGTAGCCCGAAAGTTTCTTCTCAGGTTTTCTACCCAATTTCCGTATGGAGGGCTTTTCAGGGCAAGCCGCGCTTTTTAAAAAGCGGTTACGCATCTGGTAGCACGCATGTAGGGATGCACGAAAACCATTTTCATTTTTGTTGTCGTTTCGATCCCCTACAACGACCAAATATTCTGGCCCTTTGCGTTAGTACCCCTACGGTTGGGAAATGGCGCTAAATGTAAAGTTCAGGGGTCCATATTCATGGTCGGTTTACCAATAGCGCTACAAACAACTACGCGCCAACCTTGAATGCAAAATTTATTCGCACACGGAAAATGCGATTGCGCCCTCAAAGTATCTATCTATCTTCGTTGGTACTTCTGGAACGTTCAGCAAATGTAAGCATTGGGTGGCCCATAGCGTCTTCCTACCAATATGCAGGTAACCATTTCCGAAAAAAGGGCGCGCTTCCGAAAGACCTTCTACAGGTTCTATCTCATTTCGGCATTTTTGACGAACGCTGAAGAAACATTAACCTACTTTAACAGCCTCTCAAAAAGGGACATACTAACTAAACAATTTCCTCGAAAGCGGTGAGCATTCTGAAGCTACCCTAACTCTTCTGTGAGATGCTGGCTTTATCTTTGTCCTCCCCTTACTTAACTCAAGCAGTTTTTATCGTTCTTTTCAATGATCGTACATCAGCGTACACAGCTAGCAAATACTCAAAGACTTATCAATTCACCGATGCCAAAGAGTGAAGTTTTGACGTCTGCTTTCTGAAAGAAAAGTATTTTCATAGTACGGTTAGATCCATCGAATCTTGTACAGCTTCGAAATTCTAAAGTCGAACTTTAAAAATTCAACATTAACCGGAAATCTCAGCGGAATTTGAAAGTCTCATCAGTGAAGGCAAGTAAGTTGATCCATGACAATTCGTGCTCGCTAGATGCTTGCCTAAGGCAGAAGCAGACTACATTTCGCATTTGTGTACATTTGTGGATATTTATTGAAACTTGTGGTCGCAGTCATGGGCCTGATCAATCGTCCACTCGAAAGGCATCGATTCAAGTTTCTCGAGTGAATAGGAATTGAAACAGAGTGGAGTTTCTTACGGAACACTGTAGTTCGTCACTATGTGAAAATGGATTGGAAACTTGGTAGGTCTGACGTAAAGATGCTCAGCTGGTAAGCAATGCAGCTACTGAGTTGGTATGTGTGCTAATAGCGTTTCATTACGCACTGTTCCAAACGGGCTCCTGTTCGATTGTCTCGTTCAATAGGAGCGCTTTTAAGAAACTAAGTTTTTCGATCAATTTTTCAGGGCGGAGGGCCAAAGAACGACAGTCAGTCGGTAATTACGGAAAGCGCTTTTGCGAGGCATGTTGATTCTCCTTTAGCCTTTTCATCCTACTCCTAGGTTTACCAAGCTATTTTGGCAGCCTTTTGCTCTTTTATGCTAACGAATGAGCAGGTGGTGACGAACCGATTGTTCCCTGCTCTAAGGGGTACTATTCATTTCCCCGTCATTTGGATAAATTATAATAATTGAGAAAGCGTAGGTCATAATCTTGCAGAGCAGGGACCGTAATCCTATCCTTTCCTGTATGTAGGGAAACAAAAACGAGTTTTCTAAATTGTATTCGAGTTTCAAAAACAGCACCACGCCCCTGCTTTCCCAACATGTGCGTCCGCACATACATACTTTAACATGCATTAATGGCGAATATCACGCTTTCATATCTATTTCTTCGAAAATAGGGAGAAATCAAAGGATTTTTTCTCCCCATCGCTTCAGGAGAAAGGATAGTGGAAGCGCTTCCACCCTACAGTAGTTTATTTTCTGATTAAGAGAAAGTATTGGATGAATTCAAACACGGGAACAGAAGCTGGGAGCCCATGTACCAACTAGAGATAATAGCAAGAACTTTTCCGTTCCCTTGGATGATTCTTGTTTTCTCATGGCTTTGAGTGCCACATGAACTGAGAACTGACTTCGTTGCAAAAAATATTTGACGACAGGAGGAAAAAGGGGTTCTTTGGTGCATGGCGTCAATATCATACATACCCTTGGTAGAAATCAAAAATGAGCGAAATGGGAAGCGGGCAGGGGAAAGCTCGAAGGACGTCACCGTTTCAACCTTTACCCCTCATCTGAGATGACACGACTGGTTGTAGAGGAGAGCATCATGCAAATTCTCAGCTTTCATTCACATGTGGCCGTGCACTACATTCAATCGTTTTTATATTGCGAACATTTGTGTAGCCTCCAAAATAGCTGTTCAATAGTGTTTCTTGGCAAGAGACAACACTGAAACACTAGCGACAATACGGCTCATATTGTGCCGCACTTTTTGCCACATGGGAAAATTTGACCTGATGCCACGATGCGGCACCTGAAAGGAGATTTTTTGGCAAATTCAAAACTTCTGCGCTATCGCAATATGCGGAGGCATCCTCCAGGATTAGGCCTAGGGGAAGGTCGAGCGAAAAAAACGGACGCACCTTGGAGTCCCTCCACCCCCGCCTGAGGCTTGGTCCCGTTTTCAACAAAAAAGACACGTTTTACGCGGTTTCAAAACCACTAGTACCACAATGCCCCGTATACTGCGAAAGCGTTTCGATTTTGAGATTTCTTTCCATAACGCATTAAGCAAGAAGACGGTGTTGAATTCAAGGTGGCCATGGTAGCGTGTCCTTCCACGCGTACAAGCGAAAATTGTGTCGCCGTGTTAAGTGCTTGTACCGTGAGGGGGGAGGACCAAGGACCATGCCCACGACGACACTCTCACGCTAACTGTTTGAGCGTCAGAAGGTAATTCTCTCAAGTTCAAGCACAAATGTTTCCTGTTTGGATCCGAAACAGGAGATGAAGAGAATTGTTTACCATAGAATTCTATCCCTGAGAACGAGTTAATTTAGGATTCAGTGGAAAAACAAATATTGGAAGATTTTTACTGTGATGCGAGCATGCTCCTGTTTGAATCCAGTTTAAGAAGCGACCATCTCACGTTGATATAAAGGCAGGTGGCATATTATTTGTGGGTTGAATGAAGGCATACGTGCCCACTATGGAGGAGTTCTGAGTCTTCAATGAAGCGGAATGTAACCCTTTCTCGGGCTAAGGGTGCGCTCGTATCGGCTTGACAATGCCTTATCGTTTGATTTCAGCGCTTCGTCCCTCTGCTCGCCACCGATAGGCTACCCTAACTGTTTCCCGCCATCGGACCCTAGTTGGTCAGCAGAGGTGCAGAATATAGCGTTCACTTTGATGACATCTACACTGATGTGATTCATCCAAAGCGAAAACCAACGGCGAAAATAATAGCCCGCTTCGTGGGCTAGGCCATTTCTCCTTGTTTTTCACCAGAACACCTTTTACCGAACCTAACTTTCACTTCCTTTTCACATTACCGACCAATTTTCCGCCGTGGAATCCATCTTTGAACACTTCGACCTCAGCATGGTACCATAGGGCACCACAACTTGGTGGACGACTAGGACGACTTGATGACCTAGGCATCACATATTTGTTATTCATTTTCCCCTCATTTAGGGTTTTTTACAGATTGTTTTACTTATTCCGCAGGTAACCTGAACGCAACTATGTAGAATAATAATGAAATGATTTGACAATTTAGCGTGGAGAATCTGTGCTGTGGATCGAATACAGTGTCAGATTCCTCCTGGGCCACCCAATCGTCGGTAAGTCGTCGCTAAGATCGACATTTGCTACAGAAGGCACATTGATAACCTCATTCAAATTCGGTGATAAGGACGACTGGAGAGCGTTGCGTTTTTGACGACATTATTGGACGTTCTCATTGGAAGGGCTTTGAAAGAGAGTGCCAATCACAACACTCCCTCATTGCTCTGAGAACTCCAAATATCACCTTCAGTGACGTCATCAAAGCCGCACCGCCCTCTAGCCATCGCGATCACAGCTGCTGAAAAGTTACGTTCTGAGCGCTAATCTTTCACTGGCACCAGTACATTTTGCAAAAAAAAGTGGAATAAAATCACGAATATTGTACGCTACATAAACAACATTACTGGTTCGATATGATTAAATTAGATCGTTTGTTATACTTAGTTGTTTTTGAATTTCAACATTATTGTATATTTGTTAGAAATGTCGGACTATCCTCCGCCTGCGTTAGTTTTTACTGCTCCGAAAAGTAATAGGATTGAGTGAAACCGGACCTGAGAAATCCGAAATTCTAGCCTTCAGCTTGTTGATAATAAGTGCAGAGGAGCAGAGCTGATCAACAGGATAGGTGTCACTACCACACTGGGATCGGATTTCACTCAGGCCTTCTACTACTTTGGCAACAGTAAGTTATTGATAAACATAATTCAATGATTGTAAAAGTAGTAGTAAGCAACTGTTAGATTCAGGTCTGTTTGATGAGCAAATGGCCTCTCAAATACTGCCACGATCCCGAATTGCAGTCGAATGCATGGCCGATCACGGAGATGTAGCCCTGTATGTACCATTTATTGCCACATTTGATCAAGTGAAGATAGATTTATGCTCAAGCCCAATCTCAGCTCTGCTTCCGCCAGAAAAATAATTCTGCTTCCAGACCAAGGACTACTTTCTGAAGAAAAATGCCCAATTAAAAATGGAGCAAGCAAATTCGCTTCACCGCGGCAGCCAACTTCCTTCAAAAAGCGATCCCATTTTAAGATAAGCGGCTGAGTGTCGTCCCTCATCACTCATATCATAGCACCAAATACTACTACTACTATTAGCTACTTATAGCTCGATCTGGATAAACTTACCTGCTAGTTCAGTATTCCAACGATAAATTCGTCCCATTATGACGTCGGCTTGTTTTTTTTTCTTACTCAGATTCAGCTTCTTGCAAGTTTTCTCTGGGCGCTTTCACTCCGTTCACTCCCTGTTTACCTGTTTTTTTATCTGTGAAATTTGTTTACTGTTAATTTGTGCTTAAAGGGCTGCTTGTGTACGTGCTTCATTTCTCATTAGCGAGTGTTTCAAATAAATAGCTTTTACCTGATCGCATAATGGCTTACTTATCTTAGGACACGGGCGAAACAGATACAAGAATACATTTTGTTTTGACTCCCATAATGATATATTTACAAAATTGAAAGTTATTATGTAATGTAGATTCAAAAACATTTTTTTCCACAAAATTTTAATTCTATTTGTCGTTTTTTGAACATTATCTAGACCAGTGAACTGAAAATTATTGCATAATGTAGAATTCGAAAATTTTTCCCACAAAATTTTAGTTCCATTTGTCGTTTTTTCAACATATCCATAGCAATGAATTAAGAATCATTATGTAATGTAGAATTCCAAAAATTTCTGTTTCAAAAAATTTCAATTTTTTACGTTATTTTTCAACATGATCTATGTATACCAATGAACTAAAAATCACTGTGTAACGTAGAATGCAAAATCATTTTTTTCCATAAAACTTTAATTCTTTTTGTCGTTTTTTCAACATTATCTAAAACAATGAACTTAAAATTATTGTGTCATGTAAAATTCAAAAACTTTTCCCATAAAATTACAATTGCATTTGTCGTTTTTTCAGCATGTCCATAGCAATGAATTTAAAATCATTGTGTAACGGAGAATTCCAAAAATTTCTGTTCCATAAAATTCCAATTTTTTAATGTCATTTTTAAACATTATCTGGACCGAAATTGTACAATGTGGAATTCAAAAACTTTTTTCCATGAAATTTCAAATTCATTTGTCGTTTTTTCAACATCTCCATAGCAATGAATTAATGATCATTGTGTAACGTAGAATGCAAAAAATTTCTTTACCATAGAATTTCAATTTTTTATGTCATTTTTCAATCTCGATTTTTTATCTACATAGATCAATGAACTAAAAATCACTGTTTAATGTTGAATTCAAAAAAATTTCCCTCATGAAATTCCAATTCAATTTGTCTTTTGCTCAACATACCCATTTTTATGTCATTTTTCAACATATCTACTCTTTTATGGGACAGAAATTTTTTAAATTCGTACTGAAAATCATTACATATCGTGATGTAGTGATCAAAAAATTTCGTTTCCATAAAATTCAATCTTATTTATCTTTTTTCAATATTATCTAGAGTAGTGATAGATGATCCATACACGACTGGTAGGACTGAAATTGCTCCGCGATAGCCTGCCATTCAGCAGAAGTCGGTCAAGTTCAGATTTGAAGCGTTTGAAATTAGGTTTAGTCATGTTTCAATTTCATTCGATGTTGGGGCCGAGATTTATGGACGAATTGTGCCTTGGTCACCTTCTGCGCACGCGCCCTAACTCAATTGTGCGATGCGTTTGTTTCAATGCCTTAGGCAGCTGTCCTGATTTCGTAGAAGTCTGTAACCCGATTTTGTTTTCAAAACAGAAACTCGAACACACCGCCTCACCCGAGCCCACATAACACTGCCTCCTTTTCTCAGGATGTGGCTTGAAACAAGCAACATCAACCCTGGTGCTACTTTCGTTGACTGCTAGGCTTGATTCGTGGTCTTCACATAAGCTAGTAACATTGAACCAGTTGAGCAACGTCATCCTTTACGGACGCCGACATAAGTAATATCAGGATTTTCAGACAGATTTATAGATCCAAACGAGCCGCTGTTTCATCCTGTCAGTTACGTTCAAATCCTTTAATCCTCTTCCCTTTCTAATCAGCTAACACGGCGAAGCCTCAATGCTTCTTAGCTTACAAGGGCTCTCCTATTTGAATCGATCATTCTTACAGACCATTTTGTGGGGTCTTCATGCACCTGAGTGCTATTTTATTGCTAGTTTCGTCGTTTTTCTGTTGCAGAATTCCCTGACTGTTCTTTCACAGCGCAAGGTTCCCGCCGGCGCAATCAAAGGATGTGCCCTTGTTCTTTCCGGGGCCTTGATGAAGATCTCTAGGGGGATTTGCCATTTCGGAATTGCAGTGTCAAACACAATGTATGGCCCAGCTCTTCTTCGCGGTTGGTCTGGTTCTAGTTGAGTTTGTACTTCCCTCTCCACTCCATAACTTCTTGATTTAACTCGTTTCTTATTATGTATAAGTAGTTTTCAAGTACACTTCATCATAAAACTCAAATGATCTTTCTGATGCGATTTCCGTTACCCATCAAGGCCTCATCGTCGTAATTACTTCCGTAACGGAATGAAAGTATAATTTGTGTACTTTCTTCTTGGTAACTCTCGTGGCTAAATGCACACCCGCTAACGCCTACACCTATGGCCCTACCACGAATAAGAAGCCGTGGTGCCCTGCCAGAGGAGGTCGTGATTAACCGATGACGCCAGCATGTTTTTCAAGCCGGCCATAAATTCGGTCTAACTTACAAAACTACAGCTCGTTAAAGTTTTCTGGGGACCATCACTAATAGCTTAACGCCTACGCACATGTTCATTCAAAAATTAGCTCAAAATCATCTTTCTCTATTAGGATTTTCAATAAACACTAGGATTTGTGGGCGGGGGTGCCAAGTTTTGTATTCACGGTGTAGTACAAAATATAAAATAATAATTGGAATAGAAAAAAATTTGCATATCTCAGAATTGCTCTTTGTCCAAAAATTACATTCCTGAATTGCAGGACCTTTTTCTTACTCATCCCTTTGATTACTAACTCATCCCTCCTTACTGAGTAACGCCAGCG